CATACATCTCGAGTATGGCCATATATATATATATATATATATTACGATAAACGTGCAATCAATTTACAAATTCATGAATTATTCACACAAAAACAAAAGCAAAGGTTAATGATTTAATTGGCGAGAAATCCATCATCGCAAACAATTCAAATAATATACAAAAACCTCCGAATACGTTATGAATGAATTGATCCTTGTTTCCATAAATTTCTGCCGTATTAGTTCTTATTTTTACTACAAGCTTTCGTCTGTTCCTACAGACATCTTCAGGTATAGAATAGATGTTGTTCTTGTTTTTTCTCTTAGTAATAAGGTTTTTGTATATTATTTGAATTGTTTGCGATGATGGATTTCTCGCCAATTAAATCATTAACCTTTGCTTTTGTTTTGTGTTAATAATTCATGAATATATATATATATATATATATATATATATATATATATATATATATTATGCGTTTCACCCCAAACAAGGCGGGAAGCCACTAGGACGCAAGGAATTACAGAAGATTAGGAGCAAGATCAGATAGGAGTGATAGAAGAAAGGATGAGGAGAAGGATAGTGGATAGATCAAGGCAACTGGAGATGTCAATTGACATTACATTTGAATAGTTGGAGATTATAGTTCACAGGGAAACTGGAATAGGGGAGGGAGTTCCACAGGCGAGAGGTGCTAGATGTGAAGCTCTTGGAGTAGAAGAGACGGCTACATTTAGTAGTTTCAACAGTGAAAGTGTGAGAGCGGGATGCCAGCCTCGTAGGGCGCTTGAATTCATGAAGTCTGGGAACCAACGAATGTAGATCCTTGGAGCAATTACCATGAAAGTATTTGTAAAACAGACAGAGAGTATACGTACACCCTTGTGCAAATTAATTGAAACAAAACTATTATTTAATTTTCTTCGTATCTTTCCAATGAAACATGACCCAGTTCACTTGTTAGTACTTCGTATGTCCATTCCCCGAAGTCATTCCTTGCAGACTGGTTACAGATTCTCGATTGTATTTAAATCAGGAGATTTTCCAAACCAGTCTATAGTACTTTGACTTGCTTACTGGTAAGGCTTGCCAGTGTGTTCGTGCAGCGTCACAATTTTCGTACGCTTCCTTGGAGTAACGTCTATAGCAGACAACAGCCGTAGGACACTTAATCGACAGCGGAGACAATAGTGCATGGGCGTGAAAAAAATCTAATGCAATCACGGATGACGCAATATTTTTCGAGGCCAAATTTCATCATAGACCCCAAAAATAGATTCATATTACTGCACACCACAGCAAATGAGCTACTCTGAAGAAAAATGGAAACTGATTACATCCTGTCACTCATGTGGATCAAAAACTAAACATATAATGAAAGAAAGGGAACTAAAGCGGTTGTTTCAATTCATTTGCACAAAAATTTCAATATCTGGGAAGTGTTCTAACAGAGGACGGAAAGTACGACACTGAGATCCGAAGGCGCATTAGGGTGGCCAAAGATGCATTCCAGAAGCTAAGCAAAGTATTAAGAGACAGAAACAAAGAAAAGCGTTCTGAACATTTACATTATTAATATTATTCGGACTGTTATCCGCATCTTTATTGCCATATTCACAATATTTCGACCATTTACGCTCCGCTTTGTTTTTGATTTTTTTATGCTAATTATTTAATGCGAAATTTTGTTGATGTCGGCAAAAAGCCGTTAACTCACGTCTATGGTTTAATAAATTTTCATTATTTAGAAACTTAATAATGTGTAGTTTTTCATGTAGGCATAAAGGGCATGGATCATCCCAGGTTTTACAAGTTCTTGTTCTATTTATTATTTTCTATTTTACTTTTGGAGTTTTATTCATTTCTTTTAAATGCCAAAAATATTTGGATAGAGATGTCTGATTTCTACTTCTAATATTATTGAAGGAGCTTTTGTGCTGCCTCCACCTAATTTTAAATTCATTCTTCGTTGACCCAAGTCATCAAAAAAACAAATTATAGTTCAGTGCGACGCATTTATACATAAAACAGCCCGTTGAAAATAAATAAATAAATAAACAAAGAAAATAAAGAAAATTATCCAGATACTTAACAACACACGATGGTGCCAAAATCTATCTTTCTCTGTGAATGAACAGACGATGCGCGTACAAGAAAGACACCATTCGCTTTGAAATAGACACCCCATCCTACCTCAGCTTGATCTCTCCCTGAAGGTGACTGATATGTGGATAAAAATGGACGCCCCAGCCGTTTCCATAGTAATCAATGAACACGCTTATAACGATACGTAAATTACAAAATTGGTTATTCCTAAATTTTCGCTGGAGGATGAAACAGGGCTTGTTACTTTAATTCAATTTAATTTTTAAGAATTATATTGATGGTTTCGGCTATCGTTTTTGAAACATGAGAACTTTTATGTAGCGAATGAATCATATTTTTAAAAAAAATAATTATAATTTAAGCTCTACTTCTCTTTGGAGCACTGTTTTTGGTTTTTTTTTAATAAAAACAAAAAAAAAAAGAACCCTGGATTATTTACCTAACATGTTCTTTCCTATTTTTTACACACACACACACACACACACACACACACACACACACACACACACACACACACACACACACACGTATATATATATATATATATATATATATATATATATATATATATATATATAAATAAAAAGAAAGACCAGTAAGATATATATAATCCGGTGTCCTTATTGATATTTTTTATTTTATTTTTAAGAAACAATGCTCAATGTAAATTTACAGAGCATAAATATTATATTATAAAAGTAACTTACTGAAAATATTTTTTTTCGCTACACAGTAATAACCATGTTTCAAAAATAGAAGCTAAAACTTTAAATTTAATTATATGATTAAATTAAAAGCATTAGTTCCGTTTCATCTTCAATGCTAATTCCAATATTAGGTTGAAGATGAAACGGAACTAATGATTTTAATTTAATTATATAATTAAGTTTAAAGATTTTAGCTTCCATTTTTGAAACATGGTTATTACTGTGTAGCGAAAAAACATATTTTCAATCAGTTAATTTATAAAACATATATATATATATATATATATATATATATATATATATATATATATATATATGGTAGACTCTCCTGTCGCATTCGACGTATAAGGCTCAGCTACCCAGTTCCTAGGAACCGACAGTCAAACACCAGCACATATGATTTTATTATAGTGGTGAAGGTTTTGTGCAGAACCATCCACGCTTTTTGAAGGGCTGAATACAGAGACCTGGTGCACTACGTGCCACAAGGTCCCCAAACGACCCTCCGCAGGTTTTGAATTCAGAGTCGTCCTTCTCCTAGACCAGTTGATATCCAAGGCTATAGAACCTAGTCTCTCCTGCTGGAGGGAGAAGAAGAGAATTCATACCTTTCTCAAGGTTATTAGCACGTAACTGGATGTAATGGAGTCCGAACCGCTACCCTCTCTCTCTCTATATATATATATTAAGACTGTAGTGATCAGGGAAATTATATATATACACGTGTGTGTGTGAACGTATTATTACAAGTTGTGTTTACTCGAGAAGAGCTAAGAAAGATGTGGCCAGTCGGGAGGATAAACACGTTAAGGAAGGCCATCAGGGTGATGAGAGAACAAACTGCAGACACGTACCGGCGGGATTCAGCGTTGTAAACAGAGAAAGCCGAGGACAGACAGCATGAGTCTCGGCTTCGCTTCCACATTTACCAACTGACATTTTTCAATCAAAATACCGCAGGCGAGTCCCCTGCAAAATAGAGCTATCACATACATTTTACATGCGTTCCATTCAAACTGGGTAACCAAACGGCTTTAATTACCAACTCAATGTATCTATTACTATTACGACGATCAGAAACGATATTGGTTTGCTTTGGTTTATTTATTTCCTTTTTTTACGGCATGTCAATATCTCAATGGGTTATTTAATACCGACAAGATTTTTATTGCTGTTAATATTTTTTATCTATCTATCTATCTATCTATCTCAGTATATATTGGTTTGGTTTGTTTTACGGCATATCAACCTCACTGGGTTATTTAATACCGACATGAATTTATTGCTTCTAATATTTTTATCTATCTATCTATCTATCTATCTATCTATCTATCTATATATATATATATATATATATATATATATATATATATCTTCTCAGTATATATTGGTTTGATTTGTTTTGTTTTACGGCATATCAACCTCATTAGGTTATATAATACCGACAAGATTTTTATTGCTACTAATATTTTTTATCTCTATCTATCTATCTATCTATCTATCTATCTATATATATATATATATATATATATATATATATATATATATATATATTATATATATATATTCTCAGTATATATTGGTTTGGTTTGGTTTGTTTTACGGCATATCAACCTCACTGGGTTATTTAATACCGACATGTTTATTGCTGCTAATATATTTTATCTATCTATCTATCTATCTATCTATCTATCTATCTATCTATATATATATATATATATATATATATATATATATATATATATATATATATCTTCTCAGTATATATTGGTTTGGTTTGTTTTGTTTTACGGCATATCAACCTCATTGGGTTATTTAATACCGACTTTAAATGCTGGTAATAATTTGTTATTCAAGAATTTATTGCTGGTAAATTTCTTTACCAAAAATGTATTGCTGCTATTAAAATCTATTTTTACACTGTCATGGTGTTTTGACCCCCAATTTGGAGTTAACTATTTGCCAATAGCTTCTACCACCCCGTGGTCAGGATGAACCTGGAAAGACCAGCAGTTAAGAGAATGTTCCACGCTCCGTAAAACCCCCTGATCAGAGGCCTTGTAGTTTATCGTCATACCCAGGACGCCTCATTGGAGGGGTGCCCTCTGCAGAAGTGCAGTCGATGTATTCCGAAACCCCAGCCGTCAGGGCATACGGTATTGAGTGAGAACCGTAAAGTTGGTTTCGTTACATTTTATGAAATGACACCATGACCTCGTTGAAACACCGGATCCCGTACAATCAACGAAGTTAAGCAATATCAAGCCTGGTCTGTACCTGGATGGGTGACCGATTCGGAATACCAGGTTTGTAAGTTGGGATGTGTGGGTATTTAATTGATAATGGCTCGGAATTGTTAATCAGAGAGCCGAGTTCCAGTTTCTGCTAGGCTCGTTAAATTGACTAAGGCGCAAATACATTTAGAAAAGGCATGAATCCACCTCTTCTTCCCCAAGCATTGTGTTAATTAGTAAGACTTGTATCCCTAAATCATGAGTATCTCCAAAAATATCTAAAATATTTTCTGGCTTTAAATAACCTAAAAACGTTGATAAACTGTAGAAAACAATCAATGAAAAAAAAAATGTTCCAATGATCAAATCTCCGTCAGATTATGCCCCTTAGACCTACTACCGCTTTTATTGGTGCTATGAATGTTGGGCGTCTAAGATGCCAATGGGTTGCAAGACTTTTAATGTGGCGTGACGGGAAATGAAAGCTTCTAAAATCCGTATATGTGCATAAGATCCTGCATGAATTCAAGCGGGAATGTTGGCCTAATGGTTATATTGTTTGCCTGTATGCCTAACGATTGATGTTTCAACTCACAGCAACTTGTTTGTTTTTTTTTCCACCTAATTAACCACTTATAAATACAAGCAGCATATCTTCCCGGTGGTTAGTACACTGGGCAAAACCTTAGAAAGCAGAATGACGAATACGAATTGATATCCTAGATGTTTCACATAAGTTATACAAAGAACTCACAATTGTCGCCGTTTTGGGTTTTTTTTTTTAATACTATATTCCTTGGGGACGTGGAAGATTGTAGATCTACGCCAACTCCTTTCTCTTTATTTTCTGTTAATTACTTCTTGGGAAAGATTGTTGCGCGGTTTCCCGTTCGAGTAAATATTGCATTAAGAATGTTTTTCCAGATACAAGTCCTATTATTTAACCCATAGATGGAGGGAGGAGATGGGTTTCCGAACTTTCCGGAGGGTATTTTCGTGTAAGTGAACATAACGAATTCGACTGGAATTCGAACTCGGCTATCTCATTCCGAGTCGCTTTTCATTACACCACTCGCACATCCCATCACTTATGATGGGTAACAATTATGATATATGCTTTCTTTTTCTTTTTATTTTATGTGCTCCTTGAAATTTTATCGCATTTCACAGCAATTCATCTTCCATATAGTACCCACTAACCGACTGTCGTGGAGTCTCATACGGGTGGACACTTGCAAATTTCGGGTGTGAACTGGATCCATGTTTACCTTTTTTTAAAACTCTAATATGAACCATACAAAAGATCCCGTTTTATTATTCTTTTGTAAACTGAACCCATCTCGACCATTTATGACTTCCACTTAAATCGATTAATATCAAACATTTATGACTCGTGCAAATCGGGCCCATGATTACCTTTTATAACTCTCGTGTAAATCGGACCAATATTACAGTTTATGACTCTCTTGTAAATCGGAACCATATCTACCATCTATGACTCTCGTAAAAATCAGGCCCAATATTACCGTTTATGACTCTCTTGTAAATCGGGCCCATATCTACCATTTATAACTCGTGTACAGACCGGGCCAATATTACAGTTTATAACTCTCGTGTAAATCGGACCCATACATACCATTTATGACTCTCGTACAAATCGGGCCCAATATTCCCGTTTCTTACTCTCATGTAAATCGGACCCATATCTACCATTTATGACTCGTGTAAACATCGGGCCAATATTACAGTATATGACTCTCTGGTAAATCGGACCTATATCTACCTTTTATGACTCGTGTAAACATCGGGCCTAATATTACCGTTTACGACTCTCTTGTAAATCGGACCTATATATACCATTTATGACTCGTGTACAGACCGGGCCAATATTACTGTTTATGACTCACGTGTAAATCGAACCGTTATCAACAATGTATGACTCCCGTGCAAATTGAGCCCATGATAACTTTTTATGACTCTTGTTTAAATGGGACCCGAATGACCATTTATGACTCTCGTGTAAATTCAGCCCATGTCTACTTTTTATGACGCTCGTCTAAATCGAACCCTTGCCTACGTTTTATAATTGAAGAATGTAGGCATCATAAATAGCGAAATTGTTACTAATCTTACCTCACTTTTAGACGCAACGCACATAAGTATTGCGCCCAATAAGAATCAAGTTCAGTTACTCACTAATAACGTTGAAACATAAACAACCTACTTGACATGTTTCAGTAAATAAATGGCGAAAATTGTGCCACAAGAACAAAGAAAGTTCGTAAAGTTATAAATATTACTCGGAGCAACAAAAGACAAGAAGCTGTGGAGAACTGCGATTGCCTACGTCCTGAAGCGATATAGCAAATAGAGGGAAGGAAAGTGAAAGAGAGAGGAACAGAGTGAGTGATTGTAAGGGAGAAAAACTGGTGATTTAAGAACTTAAAAAAATATGTATATCGATAGACAAAGATAATATAATTGTCTATAGTAGAGCCGTAAAATACGCAAGATTCAAATTGTAATCTAAATTTTTAATTACCCTGTCAAAGAAAGAAGGATCCGTTCTTATAAATCACATTCTGGTGATAATCGATATTCTGATTTTTTTTTTCCTGCAGACATTTCGAATGCTTAATCTTAGACGGAGACAAAGCAACTTTCTTATTTTGAGTTGGCATATCTCAGCTCTCTAGAGACTCATAATGAGAAGCCGCAACGTGGCATGGAGGTTAGCGTCAGCCGTGATGATGGGGACGCAGGGAGGGATAATTCAGGTGATTCTTTATAGTATAGTAAATAATAAACATTGCATAGTCATTGGTTCGCAGGTTTTATAATTTTGCAAATCAAAAATGATTCGTGTAAATAAACTATTGTAACCTAGAAACGTGTTCATAGGTACTATATATAACTATCTCATTTTAAGTTATATCTATCTATCTATCTATCTATCTATCTATCTATCTATCTATCGATTTATCACTCTGTCTGGGCCTTTTCATATCTCACTATCTAGATATCTCCATATCTATCAAGGCACCTTCATATCTATCTATCTATCTATCTATCTATCTATCGATTTATCACTCTGTCTGGGCCTTTTCATATCTCACTATCTAGATATCTCCATATCTATCAAGGCACCTTCATATCTATCTATCTATCTATCTATCTATCTATCTATCTATCTATCTATCTATCTATCTTCTGTAACCTAAACATGGGTTACTGAAAGAGGGATAAACAAAACGGAGGTTGGAAATGAAATGGCAATCTTTATATCATTAACAAAATACAATACTCACCAGCGGCGTGAAGTATGTAAACCACTGCTAGTGGTGCACTACTTAGCATATTACCTCCACTTACAAGTGTCCAAAGTATTTATGAGGATTGCGACATACCCATTAATGTCCATAGGTACGGTATATAATACTATCTCAGTTCAACTTCTATCTATCTATCTATCTATCTATCTATCTATCTATCTATCTATCTGTTGTAACCTAGGAAAGATTACTTAATGAGGAATAACCAAAGCGGAGGTTGGAAATGAAATGGTAACTTTTATAAGATCAACAAAATACAATACTCGCCAGCGGCGTGAAGTAGGCAAACCACTGCTTGTGGTGGACTACATAGACATCATATTACCCCCACTTACAATAGTGTATTCATGAGGATTGGGACATATACATTAGTGTTCATAGGTACGGCATATAACATAAACAATCTAACAAATAGGTTTTAATATTTTTGTTCTCAGTTCTGGGCTTGACGATAAACTACATTCAACAGCAAGGCTTCTGATCACGAGGATTTGAGGAGCGTGGTACTATTTCTTAACTTCTGTTGTTCCCAGGTGCAACCTTACCCGGGGTGATAGCAACTATTAGAGTCCCATCTATGGACAAATAGTTAACCTCCAAATTGGAGTCAAAACACTATGAAAGTATAAAAATAGATTTTTATAGTAAAAACACCAGCAATACATTAAAAAAAAAATACCAGCAATACATTTGACTAAAAAAAAAACACTCTTTGCAAAAATACCTCAATGAAAACTGATCTACAAACTATTTGCTTGCCATGAATACATGTTTTATTCATACGAATCTATTCTAAGAATACTAAATTTTAAATAACCACTATTTACTTTATTCGGACTATTGCCCTCATCTCTTTCGCCATAGTTATTACAACGTTTCGGCCGTTGTACGCTCCGGCCTTCTTCATGTTGTTGAAATGTCGAACTGAACACTTTATTTCGCTCACTGGGGTAAACTGTTCTAGTTCCACGTGCCATGTCTAATGGATGTCAATTGTCAGTTATCTCCTGTTAATTCGCCACACTTTTTGGGTCCTGTCACTGGATCTTACTAACGCCTTTATCAACTGTGCCATGTGCCCTCAAAGGCCCAAAGAGTGTGTGTTCAATACCCGTTAGTGGAGAATTTGGAGAGGCGAATTAACAGGAGATAACTGAGGACTGACATCCATTAGACATGGCACGTGGAACTAGAACAGTCTACCCCAGTGTGCGAAATAAAGGGTTCAGTTCGACATTCCAACCACCTGAAGAAGACCGGAGCGTACAACGGCCAAAACGTTGTAATAAATATGGCGACAAAGATGAGGACAATAGTTTGAATAATGTAAATGATGTACATAATACCTCATTTCAGAAATATAGACAGATACTGAAGAAGGCCGGAGCGTACAACGGCCGAAACGTTGTAATAAATATGGCGACAAAGATGAGAACAATCGTCCTAATAATGTAAATGGTGTACATAATACCTCATCTCAGAAATATAGACAGAAACTGTAGAAGGCCGGAGCGTACAACGGCCGAAACTTTGTAATAAATATAGCGACAAAGACGAGGACAATAGTCTGAATAATATAAATGATGTACATAATACCTCATCTCAAAAATATAGACAGATACTTTAAATAACCAAATGAGCTTGATACGCCGTAAAACACAATAAACCATTTGAATCATTAATTCTTGAGAACTAGCGAAAATGCATCGATCCAGTTTTATTAAAATTCTAAAAATAAAAAA